GAGGTCATTAATCCTATTTTACAGATGGGGAAACTAGCAGAGGTGAAGTGACCTGCCCAGGGCCAGCCATCAGGAGAGCTAGGAATAAAAGCCAGGTCTTGACTCTTTTGTGACTTAGTGGCTAGAGCACTGGAATGGACTCAACTGCAAACTTTTAAGATGTTCCCAGTTCTTTACCGAACTAGACACATGGAAAAGCATGTACAAGATAAAAAGCTGTTTACTCCAAAAAGGTTGGAAGAAAAAGATGCTGCAGCAAGATGTGGCAGGTTACATTTCAAAAGCTTAGGCGTTGTATGATTTTTTTTTTTAAAGTCATTGGTAGGGGTTTTCTTTAGCCCTAACTGTGCTAGACAAACCATCCCTACAGTGTCAGCTGTAGCTTAACAGCAACTTTTAAAAATTCTGTAGCATAAGTGGTTCTAGATAAAACATGTCACTTATTTAGCTGATGTTCACAAGCACAAAAATGGTAACACACTTGTTTTAAGACTGTAGCAAAGAGGAACGTTGCACTGGTTTGAGTCGGACTTTTCAGAAAGCAGTTTGTAACCCAGATCTTCATTGTAATACATTAAATGTAACAGTATCATGTAACAACTATGACCACACCAAATGCAGAAGAGTTGTTCAGACTTCTGCAGTATGGTTGACTCTACTGAAAGATGCTGGCAAGAATAATAAAATTAGATTTGAATTGGACTTACTAAGAATCTTCTTTGTAGTTATTAGTTCACTTATATTGAAGTAGGAATTAAGTGAAAGGATAAACCAGTTTAAAAGTGGTCTACAAGTATCTTACCTTCCACAATATTTGCAAACATGCTATTTAATTTTTTTGTAACCGTATTCAGCAAGTTAGATCTCTCTCCATATTAAAATCACAGTTTTCTGCAGGAGTGAAAACAGTTTCAGATGCTATGTTTAAGACAAAAAGGCTTGGTAAATATGGGCTGCTTTAGTCTTTACCTTGGGACATCATCAAATCTAACATAAGTTTTAAGCAGAAGTTGGTCAGTTTAGTCTCTATAACATTTCCCATATTAACCCCTTAATTTATACAGTGGACCACATTTGACAAAAACACAAACTGAGGCCTACTCTTGTCCTTCCTCCCCTCCTTCAATTAATCTGGTGAGACAACCCTAAAAGATGACCCTACTCAACATTTCGAAGCAAAGGCAAAAGTAAAACTTAAGTTGTCTGCAAATATGCCCCAAGGTCAAGAATATTTCCCCAAATAGAGCTATCAGCAATAAATCCCCATAATTAAGTTTAATTGCATTGATTTCCCCTACTCCCAAACAAACCACACTGTTCATATACAAGCACTGTTTCACACTTTCTTGCATTCTAATGAGGTAGATTCACCGGTACATCTGAGGGTAAGGAATACCAGCTGTTTATGACAAGGCAAGGATAGAGAAAAGGAAAGCATCTGGATGTATTTAGTTTTCTAATCTGTCATTTGTCACAAAGATTAGGTTAAACTCCCACAAACATCAGATTTATAGCTAGCAATATCATGTAAAGTCACATTATTGGACTTGTTAAAGTGTCTGTTCAGGAAAACTGATGGATTGGCAGGACCAACAGTTGTGCAGGTAGCGGGAACTAGAGATGGGCAAAGTAGCTCTACCCAGCAAGAGTTTCCTACAAAAACTACTAACACTTTCGTGCTCTGGCCTCACCTACTTCTCTTCCAACCCAATAACCGTAACAAAGGGTAGGTTAAGGCCTCCTAGCAAGATCAGATCAGCTATCACATCTCTTGTTTATCCTTCAGGAAGGAGAACAGCTGTACCCATCACACTACAAGAGCAGTCTTCACCCCTCGAGTGTAAGCAAAGGAAGAAAGTGGCAGGCTTGCTGGCTAGCCAATTGTCTAACCTCCAACAGACCATTATGGGGAGAAGGAAAAACAGCGCAAAGAAGAGTGAACTAGAAACAGAGATGGTATTTACAGTCATCAGCATTGCTCCTTCATCTGGACTTGAGCCCTAAAATCAGCAAATGAGGAAGATATGGCAGTTACTAGTAGCATGACTATATGTGCATATACAGATTATCCAGAGTGACAAAAAAGAGTTTACACAAACTGAAAACCTCAGTCTGATTCATTAATAGGAAGTACATTCTGTTCACGTATGTGTTGGACAGGCTTAGTGAACAAGCTTTGGTCTATTACTTTGGTATTATGTTCTATGAGAATCCAGGATCGGGATCATTATTTAGGTATATTTGTCCTTCCAAAGTCAGTTTTGATTGCACAGAAACAGCAGGTTCATGGCAGCAGTTAAGAGGTTAGGCCTAAATGAGGCTGCCTTTTGTTTAAAAGGCCAGTCCTATCTAGCATGGATAACTTCAAGGGCACTTTGATGAACTTTAAAGTGAACTATTCAAGAGTACTTAATAGCCAGCAAAAATTGTTACTGTCTTACAAAGAAGAGACTATTTCCCCACCACTTGCTAGTGCTTCAAGAGTTATATCCCATCAGTTATCTTGGTGATTAAAAGCAAAAAAAAATAGTAATGGTTCTACAGACCAATCTGAAAATAGCAAACATACACAGTATATACTAATTGTGAGTACAAACACGAATAAGTTAAAGCAAAACACAACTCACTGGCATTTGTTTATTTCAGTAAAATTAAAGTTTGACTTCTGCAGATTCTTCACTCAAATATCCATTCAGATAAACACCCATAAAAAAAACCTTGTATTAAAAACTGACAGGCATCCAGGCCTCTAATATTTCAGGCAAAGATGCAATACAAGTGATCAAATGGTTAAGTTACAGGCTTGCTGCATCACACTATCATAAAAACTGAATAAAGGATAAACATTCAATATTTCAAGTGTACCATTAAAAAAAATGACTAGTAAGTGCTACAGTTTTTGTACCATACAAATTGTTTTAGTTCAATTCACATCTTCCTCAGCAATATATTTGCTAATTCAAATACATACATTTAAGAGTACCAGTAGACTAAGAATATCCTGAAACAAGGGTATCAAGAGTAACCTCCTTCCCCACAGAGAAACTTGTTTTAGCTCAAATAAAAGGAGTGGAATGTGAAAGCCAAGAGGTGAAATAAAAATCTTTAGTCCGATAGCACAAGCAGAAATTTGATTAGCTAGCCATTTGGAATAACTACAGTAGAACCTTGTTAATTTTGCACTTTTACTCACCATAGTGTACCAATAGCATGTGCCACAACTCAGATTTTCTAGTGTCGCGGGAAGGTCTCATACCACTAGGACTTCATTACTTTTGTAGACATATTACAGTCATTTACTAGTGTGTTGTGACGTATCAAATTAAAACTAAACTGTGAATTACACTGCAATGCACATTTACCAATTGTCAATTTCAGTAATTTTTACTGGTTCTCCCACAAATTGTGGTTCTTCACAATTTGAAGAGTGCTGCAGTAGTCCAAGATCTCAACAGTCTAAAGAATTTCCCCATCACCAACAGAATACCAATTCAAGATTCTATATTTTGTGCAATTCTTTATCATATCTAGACTTGAAAAGCTCAACACCTGACTCAGTCAAAATGAAAGTTACACAAGGCTTCATAACTGCTACACTAATGGTTAATATAGTCAAGATTTGGAAATAGGTAGTAGCAGGAAGTGTGTGCTCACTTGGGAATATAGTGCTCAAGGAGCCTCAAGCTAGAATCTTGTAAATGTAACAACCTTCAGCTTGCTTTACAGAAAATTTAGTATAAAGATTATATTTCTCTACTGCAGAAAGTAGAAGGGGCAAGTACCTAGTTCTCAAGTGCACTTCCCCCTTTGAAACACCCAGTTCTTGATGCACCAAGTTTATACTGGCAGGAAAAGGCTGAGGGCAGACTGTTAGCTCTGCCCCATATACATATGAACGAAAGTGCTTTTCAGGACTGAATATACCCATGTTTGTAGTGTACAACCAAAAGTGAAGGCACATGGAATTTTATATTATAAAATTAACACCTCCCCATGATTTTTAGTGTTTCTGAACAAAAACAATGACCTGACCCTAAATAATGTATAAAATAGATTAAACTGCTCATCAAGGTCAGTTTCTCATAACAGTTTGGCATAGTATTAATTGCCTACCTATGTGACTATCATAGCTTACTAAGGTCAACAGTCATGCAAATACTGGGAAGTGATCTGCGGCAAAGTCCACTCCCCCACATCTATTGTAGGTTTCAGAGTAGCAGCCGTGTTAGTCTGTATTCGCAAAAAGAAAAGGGGTACTTGTGGCACCTTAGAGACTAACCAATTTATTTGAGCATAAGCTTTCGTGAGCTACAGCTCACTGTAGCTCACGAAAGCTTATGCTCAGATAAATTGGTTAGTCTCTAAGGTGCCACAAGTACCCCTTTTCTTTTTATTTATTGTAGGCACTCATGCTATTGCAAATAAAATGCAGAAAGCTGTCAACACGAGAAAGCACAGATCTTTCAGGAGCAACTCCCCTAATATACAGATTTCTAGCCCTTGCAGCATGCAGTTAATTAGTGCCTCAGATTTAGATTTTATGCATTTCTAAAGTCATACACTCTTGGTAAGATTTTACAAATATGCACATACATTACAAGAAAGTGTAACTTAGAGGCATTTTTCATTGGCAGCATTTTGACATTTATGCTCGGATGATTCAATGGCCAGCTGCATCCATGATGCAGCTCTTTTTGAAGAGCCTTATGTTCAAATAGCCTATGCCTTCCAAGATTTGCAGGAATTACTGACCTGAACAGCAGAGAAACCAATAAAGTTCTGTAGACTGTATAGAACAAATTTAGAATAGACCTGTCTGAGGTGGAGAATTTCCAAAACAATTACTTTGGGAATTTCCAGTACATTTGTTTGTTTTTTGTAAGACAGGAAGGATTTTGAAGTTTCAAACTAAAGATTTGATTTTTAGTTAAATCAGTTTTACTAGAGAGTCAGAGTGTGAATGTTGCCCCCACTACTTTAAAAAAAAAATAATCAGAAAGTCTCATGAAGCAGCTTTTACTCAATACACCAAACAAACAGGGACACAGGTGGCCTTAGAAAAGAGTTCCTAGGTCCTTCAGCCTACCACAGTTTGTAAGCATTTCGGCATATACTACACTCAAGGAGCTAGTAGATACTACAGCACACAAATTATTGAATGCATAGAACAGTACTATTGCATTTCAATATCTTATTAGTTTTATGAAGATCTCATGCAACAGCATCTATACTCCTTTGTAAGGAAAAGTGATTTTTTTGGATGAGATGTATGGCATAATTACTTAGTTTTACATGAATAAAGATAATCAACTGTAAAGGTGTTGCTATTACTCTAGTGTAGTGTTGGCAAGACAGACCAAAGATCAATAACTCATATGGTACTAGATTTAGTATTTGAGAGTTCACAGTGATTATAAAAGTAAAATTGCTTTGATACAGAACTTAATTAGCAGTTATTCAATGTATAAAAAATTAAAGACCTTTCATTCACACTACTGTATTCTGCATTAGCATTCCAACTCTAATAGAGTTCAGTAGTACCTCAATTAAGCAGCAAAGACTTACACCATGCTTAACTATACCTTTTGTAAGCCATCCCATTGACTTCCATATTTGAATTATGTCATTTGAACAGGTAAAGTTAAGACTGGTCTTAAGTCTTTGAGGACTGAAGCCCAAATGTCTACAGAAATCCTGCCACCGGTCACGTGTTGTACTTAACTATTTAATCATGTGGTATTGCCATTAGAAAAAGAGAGACTTTAAAAATACATGAATGTATTGACAAAATCCTACTTAAATAGATAGCTGTCCATGAAGAGTTGTATATAGTACCGAAATGTAAAGTTTTGAATTCTCTCTTTTGTCTCCCCTCCAACTCAAGTATAAATACATGTTTCCAGACCCTGATGCCTAGCTTCTAAAAAGAGGAGGCCCACAGATTTTACATACCCAATACTTCTTTACAGACCCACGGCCCCTGGCTGTACTTGCAAGGAAATAGCTCTTAAGTATGGGGAGCCCCCATTGCTTGGCTTGAAGCAGCTATTTTCTGGAAATTGCTAAATCCCAGGAGCCCTGCGGATGTTTACACTTAAAGCAAAATATTTTGTTTTAACTTCTGAGTTTCATTATCTCCCGAAGTATGCGTGAGTCTGGATGAGGGATGGTCACTCACACAAAGCTGCAAACACCACCTCTCTTCTGCACTACATGTTCAATGGGTTCAGGAGCATGTCACACCCCTGATTTAGATACTGCTTGTCTCCCTGCTTATCCGAAGACATTGGATTTAGGTCTGAGTTTGAAGGACGTTTTCAGTGGCTTCTCCTCCTGCTCCTCCTCTTCCTCCTCCTCCCCTTTGAAAGAGGGGGTGGTGTGGATGATCTGGGTGCGGAATCGGATTTTGTTGAGCCGTGGTTTCATCCTGCCGCTGTTTGAGGCTTTCCTGCTCATCTCCTTGCCCTTGCCCAGGGCTGCTGCCCCCTCGCCTGACTCAGTCTCCTCGCCCTGCCCCTGGTGGTGGTGGGAGAGTTTGTAGGCAATGAGGTTGGAGGGGAGCACCTTGGAGAGCCTCCAGCGCCCGCTCCCGTTGCCCACAACGCCCTCGCCCTCCTCCTGCAGGGCCCCCACCAGGCTCCGCATCTCCTCCGTGGTGCTCTGGCTCAGGTAGTTGGAGGCCTTGCGCCCGCTGTAGTCCCTCACATCCACGTCTGCGTCGTAGGCCCCCACGAGCAGCTTGACCACTTCCAGGTGGCCGTGCATGGCGGCCAGGTGCAGCGCCGTGTACCCTCCGCTGGTGCGCGCGTTGATGTTGATGGGCAGCCGCTGCTTGTGCGCGAAGTTGACAAGCATGGCGAGCAGCTCCTGGCGCCCGTGCTTGGCGGCCCAGTGCAGGCAAGTGAAGCCGGTGATGAAGTCGCGCTTGGAGAGCAGCCCCGGTTCGCAGCTCAGCAGCCCCTCCAGGCTCTCCCACCTGCCGTCCGCGGCCGACAGCATCCAGGCGTGCTCCAGGGGGTCCAGCGCTACCGAGCTCCCCGCGCCGCTCTCTTCCTCGGCGGAGGAGGAGGCCAGCGAGGCGCTGTCTGAGTCCCCCCCGCGGGCTCGGGGGGCCCCGGGGAAGAAGCTCCGTTTCAGCTGGGGGGAGCTGCCCATCATCAACTCGCGGAAGTTCTTGCGGCTGGACCTGGGGGTGGCGCCCCCGCCGGAGCTGCCCGGCGAGCAAGGGGAGCCGGAACCGGCCTCGGCCCCCTCCTCTTCGACAAGCCGGGCAGGGGGAACCGGCTCCTCCCCGCCGTGCCCCGGCTGCAGCCCCCGGGGCACGTTGCGCCGCGAGCTCCTCTTCCTGCCGCCGCCCGGGGGCGCCTGGCCCAACCGGGGCAAGTCGCTCCTGCTCCCTGCCTGAGGCGGCTGCTGCGGGCAGCTGGGGGGGCCCTTTCCCCGGAGCGCCCCATCCTCGGGGCCCGGCTTTCCCGGGGCAGCAGGCGCGATCTCCGGCGGCTGCCCCCCGGGACAAGGCGAGGAGTCCCGGCTCCGCGGTGCCGAGTCCGCCTCCTCGTCAGGGGTCACCGCGATGCTGGGCAGCGGCTCGGGCGCCGCGGGGGGATCGACGGGGACGGCGTCCGCGATGCTGGGCAGCGGCTCGGGCGCTGCCGGGGGATCGAGGGGGGCGGCGGCCTCGCTGCCGCCGGGATCGAGGGGCTGGTCACCGGGTGGCGAGTCCTGCTGGTCCGCAGCCGGGGTCCCCGCGGGCCGGTAGCGCCGCCGCAGCTGAACGTACTTGGCGCCGGAGCCGGGCTCCAGGTGCACGGTGGCCACGGCGTTGACCAGCTCCTTGAAGCGCTGGCGGGCCCGGGCGCGGCGCTCCGGCTCCGGCGGGCTCAGCCAGCCCCGGAAATGCTCCAGCAGCTCCGCGTTCCGCGCCCGCCCGCCCCGCGCCGCCAGGAACCGCAGCACTGACTCCGGGCTCAGCGCCGGCTCCTCGGCCATCGCGCCCCACGCTCAGCGCGGCCCCAACCTCGCCGCGTCCTGCGGCGGCTCAGGGCGCGGCGGCCGAGCGCTCCCCGCCCCTCGGTAATGCGGCACCGGCAGCATCTCCCGGCGGCGGTTCAATCAGTGCGGCGGGTCGCGGCCCATTATACAGGCGGGGCGGGGGGGGGTGTCAGGGACCGTCCGCTCCTAGCTCACGTCACCTCCGAGACTCCAGCCCGCCGCGTGCGGGGATCGCCCCGGGCCGGGGGTGCGAAGCGACTGCAGCGCGGCCCCTCCCCTCGGGCCGCCCCCCGCGCCACGCCCCTCCCCGCCCGTTTGCTTGGCCCCGCCCCGCGCGCGGACCCTCCAGCTGCGGCCGGTTACATTCCAACCGCCTGGAGCTTCCCGCGCGCCTCGCCCCTCCCCCTCCCGCGGCGGCTGCCCGGTGTCATGGCTTCCTCCGAGGTCGCTCGGCAGCTGGTGAGTCCCGCCCGGGGGCGCGTGAAACTTTCTCGTCTCTCTCTCTCTCTGCCCCCGCCCCTGGTCTCCCCTCCGACCGCACCCGAAAAACTTCCTCCGCCGGGCCAGGCCGCAGAGACCCCGGCCCGAGCCGCGCCCGGCCCCTTCCCCCCGGGCTGAGCGCGTCATGCTGGCCCCAGGTCTCCCCCCCCCCCCCGTCACCGTCCGCCACAGCCCCTTGCCCCCGCGGTCCCTGCTCCCCCCGCCCCCGCCGAGTCACCCACAACGAGCTCGTGAAACGCCCCCGAGGGAGACTCGTGTGTGGCGAGCTCGCGGCGGGGGGCAGGGGATAGGGCAGGGGCAGGGGTTTGCCCTTCGGTTTCCGTCCCAGGATCTCAAAGCCCCTTGCGCGCCGCTGGGCATGGAGGCCCGCAAAGCGGGCGACTCCCCCGTTCAAATCAGTGTTTGGTTGTAAAAGTCTGGGAAGACTCCGGGCTGTGCCCTCAGAACTGTCCTTCCACGTTATGAGCAAACCAAAGGAGGGAAGCGTCGGTCGGCGTGACACCGTGATGCATTAGCTTAATTTTTATTCTTTCTGAATGCTTCCTTTCCGCTTTAGCCTGAGGTGGGACTTTACATTTGTTGTTAGCAAGTCGAGATGAGGGGGAAAAAAAAAGCTTATGAACATTGATTCACTTAAAAACCATGAGTTTGCTTCAACTGTACTTACAATAGCTTTCACTTGTGATTGCTTTTACATTTGTCCAGGCAAAAATGCTAACAGCAAGGTAGGGTTATGAATACTTGTTAAAATATGTAATTACTTCAGAAGTATTCAAGAAGTAGCCATCTTGAAAACTGTCAATTTGGGAGCCATCCAGACATAGGAACCAATCCAGTGCTATTCAGATTACCAATCATGCAGCATAAATTTATAAAAAGAAAAAGAGTACTTGTGGCACCTTAGAGACTAACTAATTTATTTGAGCCTAAGCTTTCGTGAGCTGTAAGGTGTCACAAGTACTCTTTTTCTTTTTGTGAATACAGACTAACACGGCTGCTACTCTGAAACCATAAATTTATAGTTAGAGTATTTGCTATCCATAATGGTTGTGAACTGTAGCTCCCAAACAATGCACAGGCATACATTTGAATAAAAAAATCCCCCAAATAATTTCTAATAATGAGCAAATTTGTCAATTTACTCTCAGTTTATAGGTAAAATTGTGAACAGAAATGAGTATCATGCCATAATCCTGTACTGAACCTGTGTACGAGGCCCATACACCTGCATGTCTGTTGACTACAGTTTGCAGGCTCTGTCAGCATTCTAAAATTATTACTAGAAGATCCCATTCTGAGGCTTTGTCTTGCTCAAAATGGCTGAGAGTTGCTGCATATTTACAACAACAACAAAAATCTAATAGTCTTGGTTATGTGTTCACATGCTTCAAGGAAAACCTTGCTCTGCATCCTGGCAAATCCTGTCAACTTTCCACTTCTTCCTTGTTCTTCAGATACACAAATCCCAAACTTGGCCCAAATTCACTTTTATTTTTGATGTAGTGAATAATTTGACAGGTTTCAGAGTAGTAGCTGTGTTAGTCTGTATCCGCAAAAAGAAAAGGAGTACTTGTGGGACCTTAGAAACTAACAAATTTATTTGAGCATAAACTTTCGTGAGCTACAGCTCACTTCATCGGATGCATGCAGTGGAAAATACATGCATCCGATGAAGTGAGCTGTAGCTCACGAAAGCTTATGCTCAAATAAATTTGTTAGTCTCTAAGGTGCCATGAATAGTTTGATTAGCTCATGACATAAAGACACATCTTCTGCGCTGTTCCATCTCCGGTGTTGCTTTGTTAGGGACATGAGGGACATCAAAGTGGCCTAAATAACCAGCTGGGGATTTGTCTTGTTTAGAGGAATCCCTGGGTAGAGTTTAGTTGGCTGTTCTTGTGCTTTTCTGTCAGATGAGGCATTTTGAAAGGTGTGTGACCAAAGTGCTGAATGCTGATGATCCTTAGCTGGGGGCCATTGTAGTGATATAGATTAGAGAAGTATTGGTAGAAGTGTGCCCTGATTACTCCCAATCGGAGAAGTGCGAAGTCTCTTTTCCTTCACTTTCCAGACTTGCCCCTAGATTCAGTGCTGAACACTGCTTCGGTCCATCCAAAAGAAGTAGCCCATTGCGTTCCATTTTGTGAATATTTAATTATGCTTTATATTGCCTTATTGGGATCCAGGAAGTGGGCGGGCTTTGTTACTAAAGGATCCCCCCCCCCAGCCTAAGGGGCGGGGGTCCACAGGACCTGGAAAACCAAGTAATTACGGGGGACAACTAATGAACAACAGGGACGGGAGTGCGGTCAAAGGGTCAAACTAAGGGAACCGGACGGGGACATTGAGCAGAGGACCCCGGAGAGCGCCCACTGCTCCTCAAAGGCGTCAAGGGAGTCAGTGGACGCTGCCCAGAGGAACTCTGCCCGGAGACGTGAATGGACAGAGGATCGGAAATAGGCCTCACAGTTGCAGGAGATTCCATCAGCCAACCTCCTCACCCTGGTTTTATAGATGGCCACTTTAGCCAGGGCCAGGAGGAGGTTGACTAGGAGGTCCCGTGACTTAGTGGGGCCACGGTCAGGGAGTGCATAAATAAGGAGGTGAGGGGAAAAGTGCAAACAAAACCTTAACAAAATATTCGTGAGGAGCCGGAATAGGGGCTGCAACCTGGCGCATTCCAGGTGGACGTGTGCCAGGGTTTCCCTCATGCCGCAAAAGGGGCAGGTGTCCGGGATTGGGGTGAAACGCACCAAGTACACACCTGTGCTCACGGCCCCATGAAGGAGCCGCCAATTGATATCCCCGGCGGGCTTCGGGACTAAGGTGGAATATAGGCTGTCCCACCGGGGCTCCTCACCCTCTAGAGGTGGCAGGAGGTCCCGCCACTTTGTGTCAGGGCAGGACATGAGGGTGAGGACATGAAGGGTGTGGAGCACGAGCATGTAGAGATGTTTCTTTGGCACGGTCTGGAACCGGACCGGCCGCAGCTCGCGGAGCCGGCTCACGGTGAAGGGGCGGGGGGATCGGTCGGGTCCACGGGGCAGGGGCCCGATGAAAAGGTCCGGAGGGCCTGGGGTGGAAGGTGGGCGGGGCGCGCCCTCTCGCAGTACCCGGTCGAGGTAAACCCGAGCAGTGGGCGGCAAAGCGGCCCTCACCTCCTGAAGTACGCGCAGGGGAGTACAAGGTCTGGAGAGCCCCATGCGCTGAGCGAGCGTCAGGGGATCCAGCCAGTCTCCCCGGTCGTAGTCCAGGAGGTCTCCGATTGCAGTTTTATATTGCCCGTTGCATATAGCATTCTGTATAGAAAGAATTATAGAGGGAGTAAACTAGAGAACAAAAGTTTCACAGGCTGGACTCATGACTCTTTTATATGAGCAGAAGGGAAAAACTGCAAAAGACTAGCATAAAAGAAGAGTTGAAATTTAAAAGATAAATATGCCACATAGTATTCTTGTGGGTTAACTACACTGAGAGGAGATTTGAAAAAATGCAGTATCAGCAAAAATGAAATGTGATGGGGATTTAAAATTTATCAGTAAGCTTACAGATTTGGAGAGGCAAGAGAATTCTAGATAGGGCAGCACAAGCAAACAAACATTACACAGGAGAATAGCAGGGAGGGGAGGGGACCAATATAAAAATGGATGGGACAAGTTCGAGGGTAGTTTGGAAACACAATTTTAGATTGGACTGTAGATATTATAGTTAGAGGGAAGTGGAGACAAATAGTCTAATTTCTCAAATTAACAAATAGTAGTAAAGTGCTCCAGACAATTTTAATTGAATGGGGTTGACATTCAATCTTCACAGAAAAACAAACATAAAATTTCTAGGAGAATTTCATTGTGATTCAACAAAGGAATTGTATAAATTACCAATACATAATATGAATAGAATTGTAAGACTGCTTATGATGCAAGTGTGTAAAGTACTGTAGCTATGCCTGAAAGAAAAGAAACTAGAATAATTGAAGATGAGCAATCCTGCAGCAGGAATTGCTACAGTTCTTCTTTAGAATAGAAACTTGTCTTCAGTGTTGTTCAGTATAGTGGGAAAGCTTGTTGTTTAGAAGTTATTAGGATTTGAAAGATACATTGTAGTTAACTTATTAGTCTTTTAAGTATAACATACAATTTAAATAACTGCACTCCTGCCCCTTGCTATAAATACTTGTATGATATAGTTGAGTTGTAACCAAAAACTGATGTTTTCATAGCTCTCATATTGCAATTTTGTTCAGAAAAGACATTTGCCCAACAATTTTCTAAAGCAGTTAAGTCAGTAATACTGCCATTTTACAATTTTATAAGTTAGTCTGCTTGTAGGTGCGTTATGTCCCATCCTACTTGACTGCTAACTATTTTCATCCATTGGAAAACCAGGTGATAATGGAGTTAAGACTCTGAAGAAACCCCCAAACTTATTACAGGGTTGATCAAATACCACAGAGTTCTTCTTGGGGTATGTGTCTGTGTGGGTCCCACTATAGGTACACATGTGCCACGTGTTGTATGAGATCAAAATCTGTTGAATAGCAGTGTCCGTTAGACTTGCAGCTGCCTCCATGTGCTCCTGTTGAGGGAAGAAAGTACAGAGTGATCACAACCATCCCTCTGTTCCCTCTTACTACATATGGGAACAAGACAGAACAAGTAGTGTCCGCCCACTACCCTTAGTGGAATTTAACTTCAATTGCAAATTAGGTAGTTAGGGTTAACTCCCTTTAAAGTATTTTTCCCCCTGGTACATCCCCTTAAATTTTATTTGTCTCTCTGCTTTCTGTCCCTCTGCACATGCCAAAATGGTAGATTCAAAGCCCTTGGATTTCAACCCATGTCAATCCTGAATGGATTAATTCCATTCACTGACAGCCACAGCTACTCTCTGTTTTGTCTTGGGGAAGCGGTGTGCAAGACTGCTCAGTAAGAATGAGGCAGTCCAGAGACATTCAGCTGAAGCTATATCTCCTCAAGAAATGTATGAGAAGAACTTGAGACCCTAGGCGCCAATTGCGTGGAGCTGGAACATCCAACGGCAGCCCCCCTACCAGAATCTCCCCCTCTCCCCAGTGCCTCCTGCCTGCCGGTAGACCCCATCAATCAGCACCTCCCCTTCCCTCCCAGCGCCTGCTGCAGATCAGCTCTTTTGCGGTGTCAGGAGGCGCTGTGGGGGAGGAGCAAGGGCGCAGGGCGCTCAGGGGAGGGGGCAAAACTGGGTGGGAGCGGAGAGAGAGTGGGGAAGGGGTGGAGTGGGGGCGGGGCCTGAGCGGAGCCGGGGGCACCCCTCCCCCCAGCAGATTAGAAATTCGGTGCCTATGTATGAGACCGCAAGGAGTGAGGATCAATATACAGAACTGATCAGACATCTGATAAGTCTCTGTCAGCTAGTACCCCTGCCAGGCAGCATGCAACATCCAAGGTTGGTACCTGTAAAAAATCCTCTGTGTTGTCAAGTAGGGATCCAGCATCAAGGAGTGCCCCGATACCAATTACCACCCTTACACAGAAGACTGTTACCGTTTCCTTGCTGAAGCAAGGAAAAATCGAAACACTGGGATGCGCATGGCTCCTGGCACCAGTCCCTTTCTTCCCATAAATAGAGGCCCAAATCTTTGCTCTTCAGGAAACAAGTGCACTAAGCCCACTCCTCAAACAGACAAGTGATGTGGGCTCAGTCTCTGGCTCAGCACCAGAGAAGCACAAGCCATGCTCAGTAATTAGGTATGTTTCCAAACACTGACATTGACACTGGCATTGACGCTGGCACCGAGATTGGCACCATCGATGGAATCTTTGTTGGTAGTGGCTGATTCTATGTTGGAGAAGATAAACTATGTCCCAGGCATCACCATTGGCACCAGTTTTTCTACACTTGGTACCGGTGTGTGTTTCTGAACTTTCAGTACTGAGGTCTCCTCAGTCCTCAGTGCTGCCTCTCAATGATGTTTATTCTTCATCTCCATCACTAGGACACACCTTCTGTTCTTCATCCAGCAGGGAGCCTTTCATCTCTCAGATCACCAAGGTGAGAGTTTCTCTACAAACCAGAGACACTCAAGAGCCCAAGTGTATCCACCTCTGGCATGGCAATGGCCAGGTCAACCCTATCAGAACCAACCTTACCAATATAATGCACCATCTTCTCTTTGGAGCATACTGGTGACCTCCATCGAGAGCATCTAGGAGCCAGTCTGCTTCCTATTGTTCAAGGAGGCATAGAGGGATCTTGATCTCCTTTTGCATGCCTTTGCCAGACCCCTTCCCACAGATGAGGAAGAATAGCAGTATTTTTTTGGTCATGGCCTAAGCTACACCAAAAAGCCCAACTAACAAACGTTTTAAAATGTTAGGTTATGTTTGAAGACATTAGTTACATTCCTACTTTAGACAGAGAAAGGCTTGGTCTACACACATTTTTTTTGTACCAGTATGATTATTTGGGCTAGGGATGTGCTTTTTTTTATTTTATTTTTTAAATGAAGTAGTTGTACCAATACAACCCCCTTGGTGTGGTTTCAGGTTATACTTCTATAAAGGTACATATACTAGTATATCTTCTTCCCCTTCCGGTATGGGAATAAACTCCATTATTTTGGCATAAGGCATCTTTATATCAGTATAACTGTGTCCGCACTGGGGAGGATGTATACTATTTTAACTATGGTGGTATAGTTAAAGCAGTACAAATTTTGTGTTTAGACAAGTCCAAAGAGAGTGTTTACCATTAATAGCTGCAGTGAAACTGAAACCAAAGAGTCAGCAGATGGGCCTGTGTGTGGACAAGAAAGTGGGAGGAAGAATATACGTTTGGTATTGCAGTTGGACCCGCTCAAAAGATCCTTCTAAATACCAGCACAGGAGAACAAAATCTCTTCAACTGTTTTTCAATTCTAAAGAATTAAAAAAAAAAAAAAAAAAGTAATGTGAAGTCTGTTTATTCACATCTGAAACTGGTAACATAGCAGAATTTTCTGATGCATTCTTGATCCATTGTTGATTTTGCACCTTCAGCAGCTGATGCTATTTAAAGAGTGTTCTGCTAGAAAGAAGAAGATAGGATGATCTTGTGGATAAGGGGCTAGGCTGGAACTTGGGAGATCCAGGTTCATTTCCTGGCTCTTTCACTTTTTCTCTTGGAGTGTATACAAATCAATTAATGCCATCTGTGACTCATCTGTAACATGAAGACTTCTCTATTGCACAAGGAAGTTGTGAAAATAAATCCATAAATGCTTGAGGCTTCAGATAACTGTACACATCTGTGCAAATATTTTATTAGTTAAATTTGTCCATGTACTGGTTCTGAAATCTGTTTTACAAGTTAGTCATTCTCATATCTCACGTCTGAAATGAGATTTTGTACCTTGTGGTTTTATACTCCAAGAATAATAATATGAAAATCTAATTTCCATTCATAATTTATGTACTGAGTGAAGATAAGAAATATAGTAAATATGTTGTACCCATATAGTTACATTCTCAAATTTGCTGCTGTTCCAAGAATTCATGTATCTGAAGAAATTTTGAAAATGATATGAATATCTCTGGCAGAAGTTGAGCCACTCAGTTTCCTGACCAAAACACTCATCTACAAGTATCTGATGTGGCAGAAGTTCAAGGACCCAAGGAAATAAGCCAAGTTGGACTTTTGATATGAACTACATAACACTGCTATAGTCAAAGTTTTTGTTGTGTAGTGAAGTATGGTTATATTTAGGAAATTAATCATTAAAAGGCATCCTGTTGTTGCACATGTTTACTATACTTCAGTGCCATTATCCGCTTTGCAGTGAAAATTTGTTCTATTCTGTCATCTTCATTGTTAATGAACTTGGAAGCTGAATTCATCATCTGGAATACTTTTAATTTTTTTTATTTTTTAAAGTAAAAGGTACCAGATTAACAGCTATAGAGACTGGGTCCTCTATTTTTCCATTGAGCAAGTACAGAAAGTCCATCGGTAGCTTTCTCTATGCGACTCTGTTGATGGATTCAAATCCTGACATAGATGGATTGATGCCATTTGTTGTTGTGTTTTTGTAGACATTTGTCCACTGAGACTGTTAGTGACTTACGCAACATAGCAAACAGTTGCATGGTAATTTAGGATACAACTAACATAGTCGGGATTTAGGCCAATGACCAGGATATGAAAGACATAGTATCCCTCTACAATTGTGCTGAGACTCTAACATCCTCTGTGTGTCTCAAATCTTAATTGTTGGTGTTATAAAGAAATAATATAGCTTGATTTTTGTTCATATACCAGGTTGTATCTTCAGTTTTGTTAGACAGAAGTGCTGTTCTTGTGTTCACCTTCGTGGCTTATATAATCTTGTCTTTTATGTTGCCTGTTGTCCCCTTTGCTCCATTAGGGACTCCATGTCCCATTTGTTTGTTTCAACACCCATCTCTGTCTCTTTTTTTATATTGGCTCCCACACATTGGAGTGCCTTTCCTGAGGTATTTTGTCATTTTCTCTTTTTCAGATTGTGACTATATTTGAACTTGTTAACTTCAGTTAACACCATGTTAATTTTAGAAGCACCATGTTCAGTAGTCCTAAAATGTAGTGTTTTCTCCTTAAATTGTTTTTGTCTATGTACATTTTTCCAGCACTGTCAGTCTAATATGGGAATGAGAGTAGCCTTTAGCCTCACACATGAAAATCAAGAAGAGAATGAATAAATATTTAAATTATTATAAGAGATGTGTGCTAGAAAGATTCAGCGCAGTTTCATAAGTACTAAACTAACATCAAAAGGCCTGACTGAAATATGTCCAAACATATTCCGTGTAAAGGATGACACTTTTTTCCCTGAGCTTCTAAATTTAAATAAAAATCCCCCAAACTTAGTGAAGTAGGCAAAGGCTAGAATGTAAACCCAGGTTAAGGTTAAGTCTTAGGATGCTGGCTGTATTGGAAGGCTTAGGGAATTGATAGTGGTTTGATGATTGGAAACATAGGAACACAGAATAACATGGACCTGTGGCTAATCATGGTTTTGTCCATCTGTTTATGCTGACTGGTTGTTTCTTAAATTGCATTTCAGGTTCTACAGTTAATATGTGGAAAAAGAATATTTCCTTTTATTTTAAACTGTTTATGTTAGGCATTTCTCATATACCCATCACCAAGGTATCTAAGTACCAATTCATTATTAAATAATTTAAAAAGAACTATCCACTTCTGGTATTCTAACTACATATGTAATAATATCCATTATAGTTGTGATGTATGGATAATTTTACACATTAAAAAGTTCTCACCGCTCACACATTTAGAATATGTTTTTATCTGTGTGTACCTTTCCTCAAGTTTTCAGTCTCTGTTTTGAACTCCTGCTGTGTCTCATGTTCTTCTCTGAATTTTTTCTTTATTTTTAGAGGTAAATCAGTGGGATATCCTTCATCCACAAGTTTCCGTTTTCATTAGACTAGTGTGCTTTCTTTTGTTTATAGGCTCTGATCTCACAAGTCACTTAAGCATGTGCTTAACTTTAATCATGTGAGTAGTCCCATTCACTTCAGTGGCTTTGATGGCAAATTAGCTGGCTACAGTAAAACTTAACTATTTATGCCATCATTTCACTAAATGAGTTGATACTTATTGTTCCACTGACAGACTTTGCAAACTGTTAATGTTTTCTTCTGTCACTTACCATACCTAAAGAAGAGTTGTAGTTTACTCATAGATCTCCCTGTTTATCACTGTTAATTGTTTGGCAACACATTTTCTTAAATAATCATTTTTCCACAGCAAAATGATAATTGTCGACCCTTATCTCTGTCTGGCCATGTTGGTTTTGATAGCTTACCAGATCAGTTGGTTAACAAATCCATCAACCAGGGCTTCTGCTTCAACATTCTTTGTATTGGTAAGTAATATACTTTTTTTATTATTGACAGCAGTGAATATTAAGTATTTGACCATAAACTATCTCTTGGCACAAATATTAATTTAAAAAAAGTGGATGACAAGGTTACTGTTACCTCCTATAAGGAAATGACTGCAATATTGATCCAATGTGATCCTAGGGTGTTTTTGCTTTTTTAACTATGAACCACAATGTGCCTCTTTTTATTAAAAAGAAAAGGAGTACTTGTGGCACCTTAGAGACTAACCAATTTATTTGAGCTCACAAAAGCTTATGCTCAAATAAATTGGTTAGTCTCTAAGGTGCCACAAGTACTCCTTTTCTTTTTTGCGAATACAGACTAACACGGCTGTTACTCTGAAACCTCGTTTTATTCGCAACCATCCTTTTGATTATCTTTGTTGTACAGTACTTTCATGATCAGGCTTGAGGATGCCTTAAGTCTTGTTTCATGAGCAACTTCCAAGATTCTTTAAAACTTGTGGTCTACATCCAACTCTTCCCCAAAGGTAAAGTATTTCAGATAACTGAACCCAAGCCACTTGCAGGTCTATAGGTAGGAGGTCTTGAAGCATTTTTATACTTATTAATTTTCTGGCTGAATATATTGGAGTTCTTTGGATATACAGGCAGACACACAACCATGCATCTTCCTGAAACCCAACACTGAACTAAGCAAGGGTATAAATAATCTACACCAACCCATAATTGTCCTTCACTTCCTCTCTGTCTATTAGCTGGTGTGGTTGAAGAACAGACCTCCCTATACGCATGGAATAGCTAATCTTAAAACTTGTGTAATATAGTGAAGATGGATAGCTGTGGTTTTACTACGGACTTAATGAAATAGTAAAGTGTTCTTGGTGTTAAGGTTTTCTCTCTTTCCCTGTCCCCCACTGATTTTTGGAATGTTAGTGCCTAGGCCACCACGGCAGGCCTATGTAAGCACGCTAAATAATCTTTATTTCTCATTTGTAAAACACTAATCCTATTCTTGGATCTTAAGATTCTAGTGAGAGGCACAAAAGGAATTCCCTTACTGCTCAAAGGTGTGTTTTGTTGTTGTTTGCCCTTTGAGTACTGATAGGTGTGTGTGCATATGTCCTACTTGTCAAGGAATTGAAGGTTTGAGGGAACATTCAAGGTAATGAGGCACTGGCAATTGATTTTTTTGTACAAAACATATTTACTGGTGCTTCTAAGGGTCAAAAAGAGGAATTTGCTCATATATTTGGAGAAGCCAATGTACAGGTAATTTCTATTTAAACTCTTTTAAGAGGGCAATAGCTATAATAACACCTATTATGCTTTGTACAAATATATGCAAATGCAAACTTCTTACTTTTTCTTTTAATTTTTTCAGGGGAGACTGGAATTGGAAAATCAACCTTGATAGATACTTTGTTTAACACCACTTTTGATGACCGCGTATCAACACATTTTCAACCAAATGTAAGACTCCGAGCTCAGACGTACGAACTCCAGGAAAGCAATGTTCGGTTGAAACTGACCATTGTAAATACAGTGGGATTTGGTGACCAGATAAACAAAGAAGATAGGTTAGTGTTTCTTTGCGTGGTAAGAATTTGATTATGGAAAATAACCTTGTCTTGAACTGTGGAGTCTGAGAGTAGGCTTTTCAAGTTAGGTATGTGATTAAGAAAAATGTGTGGTACAAATTACATATATACTCCAGATATTTAATTATACATTTTTCCACGTAATTAATTGATTGTATTTTCTTCTTGTCAAGCAAATCATTTGAGAAATCAACATTTACTCTGCCCTCATGTGTTCATGGCTTTATAATGTGTTACACATTATATCAATAAAATATATAATAGTGATGGGCATTTTTTGAACTTTCATATAATTATACAGATAGTAAGTTACAGTACAATATGTTCTCTACAGAGTTGTGTTTTTAAGTTTCAGTGGGATCTACAAAACAATGTAAATTGGAAGAAAAATCATCTGGATTTTTTAAATGTAGGTATATTTGAAGTTGAACAGCGTATTTAGAAGATGGAGCATTACACAGCTAGTGAGTGTAGAGTATTCTTTTCTGTCAGTTCAGTTTATGAATATTTAAATTCATCAATTATTGTACTGATTTTCTTCTGACTTTTATTGGAATGACCAGTCTATGAAGCATTTTAAATAATAATTTGCATTATTTAAGAGCCAAGTAGGGTTGGGCATGGATGGAGGTTGTCCATTCACTTCCAGAACATAAATTAACATTAAGGCTACTTTTTAGTCATGGGTATTTTTAGTAAAAGTCATGGGCAGGTCACGGGCAGTAAACAAAAATTCATGGCCCGTGACCTGTCCGTTACTTTTCACTCCAGACTAAAATTTGTGGGGGGAGGGGTACCCGGGGGAGCCGCGGGTGCTGGAGGAGGGCGGCCTGGATGCTAGTGGGGTGGGGGACAGGTGTTGGTGCGCAGCCTGGACCACCGCTGGTGCTGGAGGGCAGGTAGGCAGTGGTGTGTGGCCCAGGATCCCCGCTGGTGATGGGGGCATGGGTGGCAGGGCCAGCAGGCTCCTCACCCCCAGCAGCAGCAGAGTTTGGGTGTGGCAGAGGATTGGGGCATAGGATGGTGTGAGGTGGTCTCTGAGTGGCGCTTACCTGGGGGGCTCCCTGGAAACGGAGACATCTCCCTCCCTCAGGTCCTAGGCGGAGGCGTGCCCAGGCAGTTCTGCGCGCTGCCTCCACCTGCCGGCACCACCCCCGCAGCTCTCACCAGCCGCTGCAGAAGTCACGGAGATCATGGAAAGTCACGAAATCTGTGACTTCCGTGACAAACTCGCAGCCTTAATTAACATTATAGCATAGGATACCAACGAAAGAGTGTTCCTGCTAGTGACTTGCCTAGTCTTGCCCATTTCTGTGATGAACAATGTTTAGATGATAAAGAAAAATCTCAGATGCTGGTGTTAATGATACGCAGTAAAATATTTCATATTGCAAGCAAGGCTGTCTTCTACCTCTTTCAAATTCGCTTTCCATGTAATCAGTGCCTTTGAAATTTTGCCTCCCATGATTTGGTCTACACTCTGTGCAGCAACAGGTACTCAGGACCTGCTGCTCTTATGTATACAATAACATGTTTTGAAGATATATTATGGATCATAATTTGGATCATACAAAACAGGGCAAAGAATCTTTAAAATGTAGTTAAAATACAAATCAGATTCTCATTCTTTAGAGGATAAGTTCCTGCTCTCTTACACACATTTACCAGTAATAAAGCTCCCCAAAACACAATACTGATCTCCAAAAGATGTGAAAATATCATAATTATGGACAGTATCAGTCACATGCTATTTATAGTGATCATCTGTTATTTCCAAGATTGAATTGTGAGACTACAGAAATTACAGAAGTCCATTAAATGTATCAGTTAAGGATTTCAGTGAAAAGCATAGCTGATACACTCTGCTTTTCATCACCAGTAGAGAAAAATTTAACTGTATCCTTCATCCATCCTGTGCTGCATTAGTTTCTTAAACTAGTATTCAGTAACTTTAGTTTTACATTGCGTAGACAGTTTGATCACTATCCATACATTTAATATCCTGTTCTAGCATATGACTTCTTGAGCTTCCAGTGTATATAGTTGATATGTAAAGCAATATACTCCTGGGGGAATTCTGCTCCAAAAAATTAAAAATTCTGCACACAATATTTTAAAATTCTGCAAATTTTATTTGTCAAAATAACACTATATAATCATACCAGTTTTAGTTATTTTGGTAATTTATTTCAAAATACCTGTCAGCAAGTATGTCTGTAACAATACAGACACACAAAAATGCCCCCGGGAGTAGAGTTAAATAAACCCCTATGACAACCCAGTTGCTCTTTCTCTACCCCCATCTACCCTCCCTCCCCAGCCCAGCTGGGGGGCCAGACACTCACAACCCCCTCCACCCTGCCCACCTGCAGGGCCCCCTCCAGCCAATACATTTGAACTCCCTCCTTCTCACAGCCCAACTGCGGGCCCCCTTGCCCAGACACGCCTTCTCCCCCATCCCCCCCCAGAGCCCAGGGTTCCAGAGGGAGAAACAACCTGATGCTCGGTCCCAGGCTTGTGTTGAGTTTCCTGCGCACCACCCTCTCTTTCCCTCAGGGCATGCTGGGAACTGCAGCTGCCAGGAACTCTCTAGTTCCCTCTCACCATGTCTTCTATGTGCAAGCTATGCTCTGCTGAGTGCAATGGTCCCTAGTGGTAGCTAGTAGCACTGCAACCTATTTCTGTGGGGGAAAGGAAATTCTGCATGCACAACATTCATTTCTGAAAATTCTGCATTGCGCAGTGGCACAGACTTCCCCAAGGCATAAGCAATAGTATGCAGAAAAATATAACAGGGATTCCCTTTTTTAGTCCCTCTCTATCTGAGAGAAACTAATCTTTGATTGCTAACACATCACATTTTTTTCCCCAGCTATCAGCCAATAGTGGATTACATAGACGCACAATTTGAGGCCTACCTCCAGGAAGAACTGAAAATTAAACGCTCCTTGTACAACTACCATGACAGTCGCATCCATGTCTGCCTCTATTTTATTTCACCTACAGGTCATTCCCTTAAAACGCTTGATTTGTTAACCATGAAGAATCTTGATAGCAAGGTAAGATTGTTTGAAACCAGTTTAAATGAATGAATTTGTAAAGATTCCTATTTCTTGCAGCATCTTGCTGCTCTTACAATTCTTTATTTGTGGTCTTAATACTGTCACTTTTTAAAGTAAAGTCAACATATTATGTTGTCAAGAAATATTGCTTTTTTTGTTTGCTCATTGAAAGGGATGAGGGAGACTTCTGCATTAGGCAAAGCTGAAAAAACATCTTACAGAAATGAAAAATTCTGTGGCAGATTTCTTTGGACAAAATCTGTCTCTTTGATGAGAGAACCCTTCTACCTTGGATTCCTTCAGTGTCTAATTCACCAGAGCAGCATTCCTGGAAGTCAATTGCTTCCATGTAGCCTGATCATAAACTTGGACAGGGGTCAGGTTCCATAGCACTAGCCTCTTCTGCAACTCTTCTGCATCTGGTGTGTTTCCTTTTCTTTTTCTGTAGCTCCTAGCTGGTGACTCTTGCTGCTGTCCTCATTCCGTGTATCTCATGCTCCAAACCCTGGGAGATTATGCCTGAGGGATAATACCCCTGCCATCTGGAATAGGGCCTGTGATTTGCTCTGGAATCTCTCTCCCTCAAAATTCTCTATTTGTCTCAGCACTGTAGATCCTCTTCAAGATATGTCTTATCCTGATGGTCTGTTAGGTCGCTGGCCCTAGCGGTTAATGTGGGCTTAGCAGCCTGGGATTCAGAAGATTGTTGTTACTATTGTTGTTTCTTTGTAATACTATAATGACTGGAGACACTAATCAGGGTTGGGAGCCTCATGTGCTAAACACTATACAGACTTTGTAAAAGACAGTCCCTGTCCCAAAGAACACTCAGTCTTATTTAAGAAAAGATACAAGATGTGGGTGTCTGTCAGCCTAGGATGCTAGCTGACTGAACAGCTTGGACTGGAACTGCTCTGAAGATGTCCAGAAAACTGTGTTGGAAAGCAGATTAGCGTGGCTTTCCACTAGAAATCCCTCCTGTATGAAATGAAAGTGATTTTTCATTTGCGCAAGACAGATGGTGTCTAATCCTTGCTAGTTTTCTACTCCCTTTATTGTGGGCTGCCTGCTGCATCTTAAACAGTCTGGGCGCACCTTTAGCTCAGTGAGAGTATACCTGCCTATGACTTTGGCCGCATTTCACCACTGGGACAGGACTCTTTTAATTTTACAGCAGAAAATTTTTTAAAAGGTCTACCTTGTATATTTCCACCTCTTTGGTTTCCATCCCATAATGGGATTTAAATGTGGTGCTCGCCCAGGTAGTAGAACCACCTTTTCACCTTGCGTTTCACCTCATGGTAGTTGAATCAGTTCAGCCTTGGGTATTCAGACACTAATGGCTGATTCACTGAATATGGTATTTCTTAAGATGGTACAACTGCATGCCTTCCTCAAATTCCTATCAAAGGTGGTTTCTGATTTTAATTTAAACCAAACATTCTGTCTACTGGTATTTTTCCAAATGCTCCATTCACTGTAAAAAGATGCCAGGCCACATTGTTTGGGCGTGAAGAGGATATTTACTATCTGAACAGGACTAAACTGTACAGTAAACCACTGGGGTTCCTAGTAGCACACAGGGATATTTTTGGGGATTAGCTAATTTCCACTCAGATTATCTAAGTGAATTAGATTCTATATACTTTCTTCCTATGAATTAGTGAGAAATTAAAATGATAGGTATTGGAGCACATTCATTCAGGTGTAAGGTGACCTCTTCTGCTTGTGTCAGATGTTTTTGTCACTGAAATACGAAATACTGTTACCTGGAATTCAGTCTGTACTTTTGTACAGATTACTTCCTGGATTTAGCTTCTAGATTAGATTTTAAATTTGGTAGAAGAATCCTACGGTTATTGTTCAAATGAGACCTCTCAATCTCCACTTGAGTTTAAGGATGAATTATTGCTCATCACAGAGTGAATATCAGTACAAGCAATAATCTTGGAGAACTGCAGTTACTGTAGTAAGGAAAACTAAAAGTTTTTAAAACATAAAATGCTTTCAACTAGTTGGGTTGACTTTTTTTTTTAAATTTGTATAGTAGAACAAGTTTTGATTGCAAATTTTTTTTGGAATGTGGGAATATGTAAACAAAGTCAATGCTAACACACCTTTCCTAGTAGTAGTGTTTCATTATATCTGTAAAGCATTTTGAGATAGCTTTTATGAAAGATTATGTACATTTTCAAGATCTGTTATATGATGGATGGTTCACTTCAAGGATTAAATTGGTGAGTGAAAGTATTGCCTGATGCCTTTGGAACTCTCTGCCAGCACACCTAAAAATGCTCTAAAGTGAATCATCCTGTTGCGTGTTGCTGTAGCTGTGATTTCTTTGCATGTACTATGTATGATGTAGTAGTCTGTCTTGTGAGCTATGAAAAGAGATTTGTGTGTTTCTGTCATTAAGCAAGTAATCAATAAAGACAATTGCAAAGTACTCCTCTTAGGAAGGAGCAGTCGGTTGCACAAAATGGGAAATGACTGCCTAGGAAGGAGTAGTATAGAAAGAGATCTGGGGGTCATAGTGCATCACAAGCTAAATATGAGTCAACAGTGTAACACTGTTGAGAAAAAAAAACAAACATCATTCTGGCATGTATTAGCAGGAGTGTTGTAATCAGGAAGTAATTCTTCCGCTCTACTCGGCCCTGATTAGGCCTCAGGTGGAATATTGTGTCCAGTTCTTAGTGCCACATTTCAGAAAAGATGTGGACAAATTGGAGAAAGTCCAGAGAAGAACACCAAAAATGATTAAAGATCTAGAAAACATGACCTGTGAAGGAAGATAGAAAAAATTGGATTTGTTTAGTCGGGAGAAGAGAAGAGTGAAGGGGGACATAAATGTTTTCAAGCACATAAAAGGTTGTTACAAGGAGGAGGGAGCAAAATTGTTCTCCTTAACCTCTGAGGATAGGACAAGAAGCAATGGGCTTAAATTGCAGCAAGGGTGGTCTAGGTTGGACATTAGGAAAAGCTTCATAACTGTCTTGGTGGGGTTAAGCACTGAAATAAATTGCCTAGGGAGGTTGTGGAATCTGCATCATTGGAGATTTTTAAGAGCAGATTAGACAAACACCTGTCAGGGATGTTCTAGATAATACTTAGTGCTGCCATGCATGCAGGGGTGTGGACTAGATGACCTCTCGAGGGCCCTTCCTATGATTCTATGATTATATTTGCAGTTGGTAAGTGGCTTTGAACTTTATATCAACAACATATTTTAATGAGTTCTTATTTCATTTAGAAATAAGTACCATTACAAAAATATGAATATAAAGTGGATGGAAACTTTTTTTATTTATATACTCTTTTTGGCACAGAACCTCTAGAATTTAAGGGTACATGAATTTTCTAGCTGTTTGTACTGATCATAGCATGCAAATTCACTCATTTGTAATTTGAAGTAAGAAGTACTAATGTGATATGTTACAAACCAGGTTTTCACTTGTCTTCGTATTCAGGTAGTTTATCTAATGTTTTGAAGAATCAGATATTTTCTTTTTCATGTCAGCAGAGCATTTCTGACAAAACGCTTATATGAATTTTGCTTCTGATTGATTGGGGTTACTTTTTAAAATGATCGAAAAATTAGGTCAGGATTTTGGTGATACTTTTTAATGGCAATTTTATAGACTTAAAAAAAAATTCAAAATGTTTGTAAAATATGTGTAACCTTCTGTGAGTTGGTGCATATTTCTACCAGTGGTAGCTACAGTGTGAGGGGAATCACAAGAGTTGAGCAGCCCAACTCAAATTCAGGAAACCTGAACTGAATTGAGAGGAAAAAAAATTGGTTTAAAATTAGTTACACCCAGAATGATTCCCCATCACGATCACCACGCCCTTTGAAACAATTCAGCACACAAATATATTTTTGCTTCATTTATGCTAAAATATTTACAGGTCACTGTTAAGTGAGAGAAATGACCCGTGGCTTGTTCTCACTTAACGAATTTGAAAGCTTGGCTTCAGGATGTTCAGAACAGATTTACTGTGGGAATAAAGGGCTCATGGAGTTCAGTGTAGCAGAACATTTTGCTCATTAAAATTAAGCAAAGATTATATATTTGAGGTTCAGCACAAACGCTGCATATAGTACACTTAAAATCACTTGCAAAATATGTGGCAGAAGTAAAAAGGCAAAGAAAGTCTTTGGAATTACGCATGGAGGTAAGGAACGTAATTCATCAAAAATACTTTGGCATTAGTGTAAGACATTACTGTGACTTACCTGGATACAATTTAAACCAGTGGTGGGCAACCTGCGGGCAGCATGCGGCCCATCAGGGTAAGATGATTGCGAGCTGCGAGACATTTTGCGGACGTTGACTGTCTGCAGGCACAGTCCCCCGCAGCTCCCAGTGACTACAGTTCGCCGTTCCCGGCCAGTCGGAGCTGCGGGAAGTGGTGGCCCGGCCCGCCAAAGTCTGGGGAAGAATGTTTCTTCGCTGTTTGAGCTTCCTTTGTTTCCCCTCCTGCTTGATGACTCTGTTTACTGCTTAAATACAAATTAAGCAGAGCACACATTCCTTTGTTTAGGACAGACCTAGTTGCCAATATCTGGCTGGAACATGTGTTGTTAACACCGTACAGTGGAATCTTAAATGTCACATGCAGTGTTGTCTCACATATTTTACCAGGGGACAATAATGACCAGCAAATTGAGTTTTCAAATGATACCTTACAAGGCATATTTTGTACAAAGATTATTACAATAGTGTGTATATACAGGGGTTCATTCTGTCACAATTACTAAAAAAGGTTTCATTTTCAACAGCACACTCACCACACAAAAATGGATATTGCAGAGAGAAAACTAGTAGAAAACAATGAAAATTATTTTCATTTGATTTTTTAGAAGTTTTGATTTGATTATCTGGGCACATATTTGGTAGTATAAAACCATTGCATCTCATACGTGAGATGTAAGACATTAAGTGGGAAAGGAACCAGTTGGTACCAACAAGCCTACAGTAGAACCTCAAGCT